TTTATTATTTATCCGATTTTTCTTTTTAGCTTTTAAATAAATATACTTTTTCTCAGACTAATTTGTTTGTGTTTAATTACTTGTGTTTTCTGTTTCGTCAAATTATAATCTAGTCAGTTAGTCAATCATATCGGAGTTGTTGTTATCAATGGAAGTATAGATACGTAGTGTTAGTTGGTGTTCGACTGTCTGACAAGCCTAGATTTGAGTTGTGTATTACCTAGGCAAGGAAATATAGACTGAGACTTTAACTAAGTACATAACTGGAGTCTTGTTTGTCATATACCCCCTACTGTCTGACCTTGAGATGGCATATGGACACGGGCATGTAATATATTGGAATTCTCTAAGCTTATAAATGCCTCGGTCTCATTTGAGACCCGTCAGCCAGATGTGTTTGAGTTTCAGTGTGTTAATACTCATTAAGAGATCTATATATATAGCTACTGACAAACGAGGACTTTCTGTTTAATATCTTAAGTAAAAAACATTTTCACATCTATGATACTAAAACTATGACAAATAGGGTAGTAGGGCATATGTCAACTTGTTATCGTGCCGAAACAATCCAACCACACTTAGATTGTGATAAAACTTCAAAAATAAAAGAAAACAGAACCACTGTATATTAAATTTATGTTGAGATATCCCATAGTAACGGATAGGAATTAGTGAATCTTAACAGCTCAATACTGTATCAGCTATGTAGACATATTAGGTGATTGGAGATGTTCGTCAGGAAACCTTGAATCTGTGATTTATGCCGGCCGGAATTTTTTCAGTAAATATTATCTTTGATCTTATTGGAAAGAGCATTACGATCTGTGCGATTCAAATCAACTTCATCTAACATCTAATTCCTAGTTTATGTACAAAAACTAATATATATGATAAGGAATTCGGCATCTGGTATTTGATACAGGAATATGTCCAGATTTTTGTAGATAATGTTTACAACGTTGTAAAACGTGAAAGCGCTTTCAGTGAATCAATTATCCAAGAATTATCATCCAATGTTTAGAAATGTTGAAAGTTAGATTATGATTCAATGGTTAAAAAGTATAGTTCTAAACGGTAGACTTGAATTCTATACACTTTGGATATATATGTGCATACATTGTTTAAGCGTATTGAACTAGGATAAAATAGCTTTGCACCAATTACTGGTGACTTCTAATAGTTTACTGCCTAACAACAGCACTCATTAATTACTATTTGTAATCAAACTACCAGAGGATCTTAAATGATCCATTTTGTTTGAGTCCTAAAACTATTAATGATAAAAGTGGAAATAATCTTCTCGGTATGAACACTACAATACACCATAGAATTAGTTAGCCGGTCAAAGAAATAGAAAATAACTCAATTTGTCTATAAATCCAAAAATTCATTTATTTATTTGTTGAGGTAAGTATCCATACATGCACCCCCACACACACATACATACATACATCTACATCTACATACATGAGTATATGTATGCAAGTGAGTAATGTTTGGAAAACAACTAGTAATATTACATTTTTATTATTAAAATTCAACCGAAGGTGAACTGTAATTCAAAAGGAAAATGTAAAACGAATTCAAGGCGAACAACAACAAGGAGGTGGTTGTGAAGACAAGGGAAAAACACCTGGTAAATCCAAACGGTAATTGTAATAATATTTTTTTTCAAAAACGATTTCTGGAATAGAGGGAAAAAGATCATATGTAAATAAGCAAACCAGTTAGGTAAATCATCATCTCTGTGTATATGAAAAGTAGACAAAAGAAAGAAAAAGACACCAATCATATTACCAGTTGATAGATGTTTCATTTACTAAAAACAGAGTAAACAGATGAGCACAATTTTTCTTTAAAAGAAAAAGTACTCATTTTTTAATTTTGATTTATCAGCAAGAGAACAGCAGTAATTGTAGTTTTAGTATAATCGAAAGATGATACAGAAAACACAAAATGGAACAAAGTAGAAAAATGATGTGTCACCAAACTAATTGGAAGCTACGATCAGATGCGGTACATGTTGAAGGGAGAAAAAAGACAATATAGTAAAATATATTTATGAAGTATTTTATTAGGAAACTTTATTGACTAATCTCGACAAAAGTGAAATATCAAAACCCGATACAAACACACGCACACACACACACGTACACCTACTTACAAAGGACGATTGTGTAACCAGTTCCCTTCTATTGAATATAAAGTAGTAGAATAATAAAAAAAGAACTACACGGTCACAGGTGAGGAAATATTTAGTTGATATTAACAATATTGGAGGTGATTAGGGATGGCGGATGTAGGATGTAACTAGTACTGATGTGTAGATATTAGTCAAATTCGACAGAGTAAAAAAAAAAAGAGAATCGAACAAATCAAGGACTGTAAACAATAAAAACGAGACAAAAGTTAATCTGATCATATACAAGTTCAATTACATATATATGTAGTAACAAGTAGTTGTATACTAGAAAAAAAACGATTAATCATAATGCATCGTTCTTCATTACTTTATTTATGTATAAACTTATTGCCAGTTTCATTCTGTTATCATATCGAATTTCATTTTGATCGTTCTTTCTGTATGTGTATGTTAGTTCTTTGTTTAGTTTATGTTATCAATATGTCCCTTGTAAAACAATTGACCACAAAATAAACAGACAGTAATGATATTGAGGAAATGGGAGATAAATTAAAGATGTAAATGAGTAAAATAGAGCAATTATTAGTATCAGTATCAATTAATATGAATAAATAGCATGAAAAAAACTGGAGAATTTATTGAGTCATACATTCATAGTTATTGTTATCATCATTATGCTTACATTACATTGTGTAACAAAGAAAATAAAAGATAATTCTAATTCGAATCACAATGTTATCCTACACATTTGACGATACTCACAAAGATACACAGAAAGAAAGAAAGAGAGAGAGATCGAGAGGAAAAAAACATCACCAACCTCATTAACCGGTAGTATATATGCAGTGACAACAAGTATGCAAAAACTGAAGACAATAGGTCATGATGAGAGTTGGACATTAAGAGCATAATAATGAAGAAAACAAACCATGATTGTGGTTAACGGGAAAAGCAAAAGAAAATCTATTATACGTTCACATTAGCATATACACATACATACAAAAAGACAAGTGAGTCATGTGAATTTTCATTTAAACAGTATAAATGACACTGTACACATCAAGAAAAACAGAAGATACTTTGCCAACCTGGATGTACATGGATATACGTTTAAAAATCCATTGACAACTTGAGTGTCAATAATTTAAAACATAAACAATGAACATAGTAACATAACAGAAGAAAACATTTCAAGAAAAGAAGATTGATAATTAAAGTGAATACATAAAGAAATGAACGATTCATAAATCCGATTTTAGTCTATCTAATTAAATAGCTTGAAAAAGTAATCGAACAAAAAGATTAGGGAAAACATACATTCATATACAAATCAGAAATGAAAGGTGACTAAACAGGAACACTTGGAAACTGTTATCATATGCATTTTAATTAATACTGATCGAATTGAGGATACGGATAATCATTATTATCGTCAATATGTTATCAAAATAAAAGTAAGCCAATCAATGATAGAGACAAAAATAAAATTGAACAAAATATTGATCGCCAACAACAATTAAAACAATAGTAAACACAATATTCCTGTATATCCCAAATTTTAAGAAAATAATAATAATAATTCAATAGCAACTTTTACCCTCCACCCCCCGCCCAATTACCAATTTTGTAAAATTAAAAAATACATTTTAAACATGAAAAATAAATGAATCATGTGTACTTCTTTTACATTATTTGTTTAGTTTGGGTATTTTTTTGCTTAGTTACTGTGCAGTTCACGTTTTACATTCATGTAGACAATGATTTTGTAGGATGGATATTATTATTATTATCAAATGTGCATGTGTAGAAATAATAAACAAGACCAAACAAAAAATCTAAGTTTGTTTAGAAATTTAGGAGAACAAAAAGCAAGCGACAAGAATCATGTTAAAAATAGAAGAAAACGCATTAATTACAAAAAAAACGGAAGTTCCACGCCAAATTTGACGGCGAACAAGACACATACCCAGGCGCACACATGGGGCAGAGGAAAGTAGACACAACAGGCAAACAAAGAGACAATAGATGAGCACTTCATTATTATTCTCATAGATTATAAATTTGCTGATTATTCAAATAGTTATCTACCTTAAAAAGAAAATAACAGTTGACAGGTCGAATACCGCGTGTGCGCGAGAAAGAAAGAGAGAATAACCAACTATAAGATCGGAGAAAGGTAGATCAATAGAAAAAGAAACGAAGCTTGTAAGAAATAGAGAGCAAAATCTAAAAAGGTTTATTTGACCGCGTCTTGGTATGTTCTGTGTATAATTTCACTGTTTATCAGAACATAAATTGAAGTTTTTTGGTCCTCATATATAAGTATAAATTTCTTTTGATATAAGTGCACACATTACTATTATTATTACCAAGAATGTAGTATATATTTACAGTGTATTCGGTTAATCAATCATCCACATACTATGACTATAATGTCACTCTGTTTCCAGGTGAATGTCCATTTAAAAATATCTTTCAGCTAGGAGTGAAGAGAAGCGGTGGCAAACATGTAATACTATCATATTGATGATTTTATGTTGAAATTTAAAACCCCCATCCCAAAAAATACACGTAGAGGAAATGTACACAAAGTAATCGAGAAGGAGAGAGAGATCAACACAAATGAGGAAAGAAACAAAGAGAAAAGTCACTATGATTATTAAACAGACAAACAACAGTAACAACAACTGACCAAAGGGAAAAAGACAACAACACAACCAACCATGAAGAAAAATAAATGAAATGAATTGCATAATATCTAAATATATGTATATTAATAGATTATATATCTGTTTGATTATTCGCTTAGTTAGTTAGTTGTAAAATACGAATTTTCAGATCAAGTCATAATAGAGATGGATAGATTGAATGTTCCTACGGAAGCACTGATGATTACAGGTTGTCATTTTTCGATTTATTAGGTGTTATTGTCCTTATAATTGTTCTGCTTTGTAATGTTGAACTACTGCTACTACTACTACCACCAATAGTAGTAGTACTAGGAGTTTTAGTAGTATTGCTTAAATCATTTTTATTTGATTTTGTTGAGTCAGCAGAACTAGTCGACTGCTTGGGATCATTTGATGTGTTGATTGTATCAAGTTGATTAGTTAATTTTGTTGATTTGAGATCGTTAACAGTATCGATTTGTTGTCTGAACTTTCTTCTATCATTTTTGACTTCAGTATCATCATCACCAACATTATCGTCATCAGATGAGTGTTCTTCACAAATCGATGGTGGTCTTGGCATTGATTTTTGTGAGCTAACTGTAAGTAGAGAATCATTATCATCGTCTACAATTGGGTCACGACTAATGATAATATGTGAATCAGACAATTTAATCTCTTGTTCATCATTTGTATTCATTGATGTTGTGGAAGAATATGGCCAACATCGTTTAGAATTCATATCTAAATGTGGTGGCATTCGTTCATTGACTTTGTCAAATGCTTTTGCTTCTTCAAAACATTGAATTTTATGTGGTGTCCATGTTCCAGAAACAGCTATGAAGCAAAAAGAATATATAGATGTTAAGGATCACGATTGTGAAAATTAGAACAACACATATAAGTGAACAATAATGTTTATCAATAAGATCATAATCAGAATTTACTTTTTTATAACTGACTATTTATATGGAAAGATTAAACCAAGTAACGCAATATTTTTAGGAGACAGGATCGACCCCCTTTAGGAAATGACGAAAGTACACAATAGATCATTCGAAATGATTTGGCTTTATCTACCATACGATGAATGTCAACTAGGTTTCTAAAGAAGTAGCCGCGTATTTTCTTTTTCTAGCCCTTTAGAAACCTAAATGAAAAGTGCTCACTCGTTCGTTAAATAAGTTACATGATAGTACGGTCAATACAGCTTTCTCTTCAGCGGGATATGTAAATGCATATGGAAGAGCGAAACTCAGGTAGTTTATTCTTTGAGTAGATTTCACTTGTTTACTATAAAATGTCAATGCGAAATCAGCTTCTCAGGATGTCCAAATAAACTGATTTTGTTAATTTATCGTGCGAGACATTACTAGCCACATCCACATTGAATTTTAGTTTTAAGAATAGGGGGTTTCTTATGAGTGCTTAAGATCTCTAACTCATTTTCCCTCATATACGTGTACCCGTTTAAGAAAACTTCCAGGGTAGCCCCATCTCTGTCATTATGTATATTATCAATAAACGCCTTCTTTATAGTAACATCTGAGCAGTGTGCATACACGATTCAACCTATTGAAGATCGAACCCAGAACACTGAGTTCTAATATAGAGCCTACTAAGGTGACATTCAATGGCGTAAATACTTGGTTTCTTTTTAAAAAATCACCAGCGGATAAGCAACATAATTTTTTTATCCAAAACAATTGAGCCCCTTATATAGATTTTGATAAGGTAACAAGAGGACAGAGATTATTAAAATAAAACAATGAATTAAATTAGAATAGACCGTTTTTGTGAAAATTACTCCAAGTGGAATAATACAGATTTCATCACTAATTTGATATCCAACTTAGTGAACTGTTGAAAACTACAGAAATATGTACATAAGATTCGCTGAAATAATGAATCCAATATTTTTTTTTCATTTTCCAGTTCAATCAATTTACCGATAATAAAGAAGAAAAAAATCACTGTCCATAAAACAGTTTTATCGATTTTACTTCAGTTATCCACATGATTTATACTTTAAGTAATTAATCTAATCTGTTATTAAAATCAATAATCGAAGTCACATATAACTCAGTTATTAACAGATCCAAGCAACAACAACAAAAGTACGAATAGATAGGATGAAAAAGTTTTATGAATGTTTTTACTTATTGTTCCCAAGAGTTAAAGCGTTTGATAAATAGAACGGTCAAGATAATCACTTTCTAGTTAAATCGTAAACTTTCACAATCTACCACATTTGAACCTCAAATGGGAATAGAAAGCAGAGATATGAATGAAACTTTACTCCCAAGGTTGGTTTATATACAGAAAACAAGGGGTATTTGTAAGGCTACAGATAGCCTCGAAATTCAGTAATCCGTTGAAAATGACTGATAATTATCCAATCCGATTACAGTAAAGCATAATGAGTTGTTTTTCATGAGTCAATTGAAGCTAGATCACCATGGAAAACCTGGAAGCACTGGACGACCGTTTCGTACTTCCAGGTTTTCCATGGTGATCTAGCTTCAATTGACTCATGACCTCAACTATTAAAAATTACCATAATGAGTTACTTTCTAGATATTTCCTTAAAAGATGCCGAGACTATTAATTGGCCAAAGTAATTTTGTGCATCTTTACTATACTATTTCAAATTATTATTATAGGTATTATAGGTAGATATTATAGAAAACTTCTAATTTGCATAAGATACCTTTTGATTTCACTTTATTTCTACCAATAGTAGAACATTTTCTTCAGAAGTTTCAAGTCATATACATTAATTGGAATCCATAGATTTTAACGCTTTTCATTAACTAAACATAAATTTATAAACATGTCTTATTCACTAATAGTGACATGTTGCAATCACTGATCTTATAGAAATGGAAAGAGTAAAAATTTCCACCCAGTGTTACAATAGATTCAATTAAAACATTGGATTATATGATTGAACCATGTGTCCTGATATTTGATTAAATATGAATAATAATACTGCACAATCAATAGGTCAGTCTGTTTATCTGGTCAGTGAGATTGGAACAATTTAACAAGCTTGTGAAAGCATGTATATAATGTATATATATATATTCATTTCAAGGGGAAAATGATTTTCCACTAGGCTAATCTCTATTTCTCTCCTTAAAACATTGACAGTAAATGAAATTAATATGATAATATGATCAATATGTTCTATGAGAGAGAGAGAGAGAGAGAGGAAGAGAAAGAGAAAGACAGAAAGTACATAAAGGGATTAGATTAATCTTCATTTATTTCCATCTATTTGTGTATATAATTACGTTTACATTACATATTCAATTTATCTATCTCATCTGACCTTAATATTAAAAAAAAATTCTTAGGAACAAATAAAATCTAGAATCATGATGATCAACAACCATTTCTTTTAATAAAAAGAAAAGTAGACAGACAGTACCTTGAAGGGAAAAAGAAGTTTCAACTGTTTACTTTCCAAAATAAACAAACAAACGAGAATTAACTAGTTAACCAACCTAAACAACTTTATCTATCTCTCTATCTATCTGACAATATTCATTGATTCTGTAAAACTCTATGTAAAATAAATACAAACTAGAAATAAATGGCGCAAGTAGTGAATTATTCTCCATAGAGAAAATATCTATTGAGTTGTGTGTCAAGAATGTTGAATGTTGAAGTTTCACATTATGAACTAATTTAGATTAGATAAACAAGCATTGTACAGAGACATTTAGTTGTAGTATAGAACTAATTATTTTATCATTTACTAGTGACTATTTGCAAGAAGTGATTCATGGAGATCTAAAAAAAAAAGTTTTGATTAATGGAATTTAAGCATATAGTTAGTGAGATAACGAACTCTCGCATTAATGAAAATGGATGATGATGATAATAAAGTAATATTAAGAATTGATTGAAATTAGTCCTGTATTAGTATGAAATTTATCTTTCAATACTTCTTGATTTTCAATGGTAGTCAAACTGAAATCAGCACGTCATCTAAACTATAAAGTGATTTTTTTATATTGTTATTAATTTGTAAAATACTTACTAATATAAAGATTTCAAAGTGTTTCCCATCACTTGTATTAAAAAATAATTCAATTGTAGTTGATCATTTGTTGACATTTCAGAAAGAATTTGTACAAAACAATGCATTTTTTTAAAAAAAAACTTTTCTCTTCAACCGATGGGAAGGGGTCTTCATTTAGTAGTTACTGATAGATCAATTTTATTTTCTATTGAGATCATGAACCCATTGATGTCAGACCACCGTTGGAAACCTGGAAGCACTAGACGGCCGTTTCGTCCCATTGTGGGACCTCTCAGCTGTGCGTTTCCATGATCCCACTCGCGAGACTCGAACCCAAAGCCTTCAGTCTTGCGCACGAACGCTTAACCTACTGGAACACTGAGCCGGCATCTAATGGCGTTAGTGTTTAAGCGTTCGCGTGCTAGACTGAAGGCCCCGAGTTCGAATCCCGCGATCGGTCGTGGATGTGCACTACTGAGGAGTCCCACGACGGAACGACACAGCCACGGTTAAACAAAGTGTACATTTCGTTTGTAGATTGTATTCTACAATCTAGTTATGAAATTTACTATAAACAGATTACATTATCAGGGGATTATTTGCGTAGGTAATTCAAAAACCACTCAGTTGGTCGGTCGATCGATAACTGAACTGACTGAAACATGTTCACTTTTCATGCTATACAGCTGTTTATTGATATCGATGTAAAATGAAACTATTGTTTGGTCTTTCCTGACTTATAATGACTTACCGACTTATGTCAGTTGGTAACGAAGACGATCTGAAAACTATTAGATGTTTTATGCAAACAATATGAATCATTATGTGCTAACTAAAAACTAACTTCAAGAAATATTTCTTGAAGTATTACTAAGGTGTGATCATTGGAGTTTAACTATGTCAAATGTGTAATATCCAGAACTAACTGAAGTTAGAAATATACGCCACCAGTTACCACCTCAATGATCTGAAGGTTAAGTGGAAGCTGCAAAACTTGACGGTTTTGGATTCGATCCCCAATGAGTGCGGTCGTGGATGCGCACTGATATATATGTTCTAGCACATTACGACATTTATGTAACAGTCATTAAGATAATTAAAGATAAAGAAAAGCAGAAAAGAGGAAAGAGAAGGGAGTAAAAAATCAACAGTTCGGTCACTAGGACAAATCTATCATAATTGATAATAAATAGAAGTGGATGTATTATAATGTCAAAAAATTGGTTACGTTGATAATGTATAACTTCTTAGTATATAACATGTTTACACATTGATACACATACATACATATATGCATCAATACATACATACACTGCACTTGAACTTAGAAACAATTGACTCTCTGATGATTTAATTATTAGATCAATAAAAAGCATAAGGATAATATGTGTGGAATAGGAAGAAGAAGAAGAATAGGAAAGAGAACAGCAAATAAATAAACAAATAAGTAAATATTCAAAGTAGACCACACACACACTCATGTACACGTACACTCCATATTTATTGTATTGTGTGTGATACTTATACAGACAGATATAAGTAGTATGTATTAAGGATTGGAAGTACAATTCTTACTGTCAGAAGAAGAAAATGAGAAAAGAACGAGAAAACAAAAAGTAATCAGAGTAATAACATGAATGGAAGAACGACACAGTTCATGATTGAATGTACAAAGATAGAGAGAGAGAGTGAGAGAAAGAGAAAAACAACAGAATTTTCATTTATTCAGATATCAAATGTACTAATCTTGGATATGTAATGAATAAATATATTTCTATTATATGACAATTACGTAGACAATTTAGTAGTGAATTAAACATTAATGATTTTTCATTCATTATCATCATCATCATTAATATTTACAAGATAAGTTATATGACTCTGTTCAAATGAAAATAAGTAGGTTGAAGAGTAAAATCTAAAACAAAAACATTGAAATATGAATCTAATTCATATAACTTTAAAAAAGATTGTACGAATTTCGGACTATTGACAATGAACAAAGATCAGTAATATGATTGAAGCTGTACATCAATGTAGAGATTTTTTTAATGCTTGAAAATGTAATCGTTTGTTGTTGTTTTTTTGATATCAGTATAGGAACTAACAGAAATATATTGATTTATCGAGTTTACTCTTACAGGTACTGATTATTCAGACGTATTTTAGGTGTTCATGGGCTTTTTTTGACATTTCTTCATAAAACTATTGACTCTGGGATCACATATGAAAATGTAGTCGTAATGCAGTAATGATTGGGTGTTTTGATTTTACATCCTAGTTTTGAAACTGTGAGCATATCTTAATCTGTAGTTATTATCATGATTAATATCGTTAGAGCTTGTGGCAAAATGATTCGTATAATTCAGTAAATATATTCGCAATTTCACGTAACAAAATCACTTAACTTTGAAGTGATAAATAAGGCAAATTTTAACACCGTTTGCAAGTAAGCCACACTGATGAGCCTCGACAAGCACGAAACTTACATCAAATAAAGTTTCAAAACGACTACCTCCAAACAACTAATGTCACAGACTCCAAATATCCTGGTACGGTCAAGGGTGGGGATGGTCTGCTCTTTCTATCGAAATGCTTTTATATGGCCACACGTATATAGCTAATGTCGTGGAAGCTTTACTCATTGCCTTTTCGTAGCAAGGGTGTTATTTACACAATTGAGCGAATGTCCAACGGGGGCTTAAACAGGGTTGCTTACCTAATTACTTCTGTTACCCCTAGTGGAAGAGCATAAACCGCCCACTAGCATTTTCCATCTAGCTCTATCCTTTCCAGTTCTTTTCAGTTGCTATTCATTTTTTTTTATATCTGCTTCCAATTCCCGACGTAGTGTGTTCCTTGGTCTTCCTCTTTTCCGTTTCCCTTCAAGATTACAAGCTAGGGCTTACTTCGTGGTGCAGTTTGGTGATTGCTTCAATGTGTGTCTTCACCACTTCTAACGTCTTTTCCTAACTTCCTCTTCAGCCGGAAGTTGGTTTGTTCTCTTCCACAGTAGGCTGTTGCTAATGGTATCCGGCCAATGTATATTCAATATCTTCCATACAAAATTGTTTAGAAATACTTATATCTTCTGCATCAGATCCTCCTCGTTCATCGATGATGAAAGATTCCAACTCTTCCAGAGCTTCCTTATCACGTGTGATTGGGCTGGTGTTCTCTGTGTTGTATTTCAGGATCATGCTTTATCCTTTATGTATGCCGAGGTCTAATGATGCAGAGGTTTCTACCACAGCAGTTGGCTTCACCTGCATTTGTTCGTGTGTATGGGATAGAAAGACTAGGTCTTTTACAAAGTACAAATCGTCTAGCTCTATACAAGCTGTTCATTGTATTCCATGCTTCCCCCTCAGATATCGAGGTCTTTATAATTCAGTCAACCACCAGCAGAAAGGAAAAGAGGGGAAATGAGCACCCTTGTCTGACTCCTGTCCTCACTTGAAATGCATCTGCCAGTTGTCCTCCATGCACCATTTTGCAGAATGGGTACGGAAGATCTAGCTCGAGGAGTTGGAAGACCCTGATTACAATTCAGTGATCTACATGGGCTCCAGGATGATGACTGTTTTGCGACACATATATATTTGGTTTCTCTTTTGTGCTACTACTTACGTGTTCAAAATAAATCAATAGGTTAATATCAAGAAATAGTGCGCGTGATTTCAAGTCACTTAGACTGAAGGTGATCACACTGCAACTAGGTCGATAAGATTCTACCAGCAATCAAAAGAACGAGACAAACGCGACATTAGTCACTACTTAACGGTCAATCAATAATGATATACATCATGATTGGGAAAAATCAATAAGGAGGAGAAGAATACATACAAAGTACAATAGTGAAAAAAAATTAGACATTAATGCTTAAATTATTTAAAAAGAAAGGCGTGAATGTAAAAAAGACAGGATTAACTTTGTTCTTTTCTTCTGAACACTATCTGTTCCTATTTTCTTAAAAATTCTGCCCTTCTTCATTCCTCATTACTTCCATAAAATGTTATGTATTTTTATGGGCTGTATTCACTAGAGGTTGGTCTCGCTCAAGGTTCCAGTAGGAGATTCCACGAGAGTAGGCATCTATGATCCCACCAGAGATTGAATACATGCCATTCAAATATGATAAAACGTGATTTAAATTATCACACTTATTAATCGATTGTTGTTTATTTATTTGTCTATTTATTCGTCTGTCCTTTTTAATAACAATGAAAGTGTTTAACACATTGTTGATCATGAACAGAATATAACAAGTTTTAATCAATTTCCCATCAAGTAACATATATTAAAGTAAAACAAATAACAAACATCAAAAGCCACGATTGTTTCGCGTTTTGTCGTTGTTATTATCTTTGTTATTCCTGGTGTTATTGTTATAATTGTTTGTCTTTCCCCGCGTTACGTTTATATCTACCTACCTACCTAACTAACTATCTGTAAACATCGAGCGCCGTATGGCATCTTCTCTACAGGTTTTCAGACAATGGTAGCGACAATTCAAACATAAATCGCGATCCAAACACACAAACACTTATACACAAATGTTAAAAACAGAGGAATAGAATGACACAAAATAGAACAAACTGAACTAGATTATAAATAAATGAACAAAATCCTCGTTTAGGGATTTAATCTAATTGGATCAATAAAACAGCCCGAAAAAATCTATTAACTACTATCCGGATATATATATATATATATATATATATATATATATATATATATATATATATATATATATATATATATATATATATAAGCTTAATTGCTAAGGGAATGAAACAATACATATAAGATTATTTGAAGGTGTAATTCCCGAAGTTGTAGAACGAAGTCATAACAGATAGAGATCAATTCAGTCAGATGTGAGGCAGTTACCCTCCATTAACTTTGGAAGATTGAGGGTCGTGTGTTCGATTCCGCATGTAGCGTCGTGGATGAGCACTGATGAGTTATAAGACAAAATGGCGTCCAGTCCTTCCAGGTTTTCAATGATGATCTATCTTAGATCGACTCACGAATTCAACAGTGAGAATTAAAGTATGACCCAGTGCTAAACAACTACTAATTTATTAGCTTTACGTTAATTTCATTCATTAACCAAGTGTGCAAATAATACAGATTCGAATCTCACGTGAAGTACCAATTCTTTCAGATCACAAGTTCTTCTTTTTGGCAAGTACCAAACCTAAGTCAAATAGGGGTCCTGTCAATTACCTGTAACAACCTAGTAGGTTAATGTACGTACGGCTTGAAGCTACACTTTGTACATGTGTACAGATAAATGAAACAAATACCGCAACAAACTGAGTAGGGACGTAAAATGCTAAACGGTAATATATATATATATATATATATATATATCTGAGAGCTGGAAAAACATAATGATTTAGACAGTGACTAATTGCAGTAAAGTAGTAGATAACACCAAATAATAATAATAACAATAATAATAATAATAATAATTCCAATAAAACAATAAATAACAACATTACAACTATATTTACCTTTGATAGCTTCTCGACCACCGGCTAATGCTCCTAATGGAAGCATACCAGTTGGAGTAAGTCCTTTGAGTTCAAGTATAGTTTCACTCTCCTCTCTGAAAATAAAATACAACAATATTAGTAAAAAGAATAATGCAATTTTGTTTTAGATAAATGACTATGAAGTAATACAATCCATTTGTATACGATTATCACACAGTTGAATATACGGACAGAATAGTAACAGTCAGTAATAACCTTGTGAAAATGTAAACTAAAGAAAAATGGAGAACATACAACTGCGACATGATAAAAACAGTATCTTTGATGCAACATATAATAAAAAGACAATTAAGTATAGAGGAGTATGTGTAGATTACATAATTTTCATAGTCACGAATTGATCTTAGTTAAACCATTATTGGAAGCCAGGAAATACTGGACAGTTGCTATTTCATTTTAGTGTTAAAATCCTCAGAATTTCAAATCTATGATTTCATCAAAAGGCACCAACACCAGGATCTTCAGTCTCACAAGATATTACTTAACCTAGAAACCAGTAAACCGGCACCCCATGGTGTATATGTTTAACTTCAATAAATTTGCTGATGATTCTCATACTATGACGAAATAGCTGTACAATTTTTTCCGGTTTTCACTGGTGGTGTAAATAAGGTCATTTCGTAATTTAAATTATGAAAAAGACAATTCGAAAGTTACATCTACATTTACACTAATTGATAACCAGGTAGTAACGAATATTATCATCCTTATAAAGTGCTTATTGTTGATCAAATTTAATCGACCAAATTGTAATGTACCCACTAGCAAGCGTAATTGCAATAGTCTTACAGGAGGTGGCCAGTCACAGGGTACAAGAAGACAATAAGCTCAAAGAATTTATATGTATTGTGAGAAGTGATAAGGTATTTACATAATACATATACATAGCTTTCAATAATCCATGTGTATCCTTTAATTTGGTCTGGTATCTGCAGTTTTCTCATCTGACCTTCAAGTGTTCTGCCAACGCCGTGCTTTCACTGTACTAAAACCATTCACTCCATCCGACAACTTCGAGGTCACGTTCTGCAACATACTACTTACAGGCAATCTTGTGAGTTGTGTCCACTACAACAGCCCAAGCAGTTTAATAGGGCTGTCTCAATGCTAGGCCACGCACGTTCTAATTGCATAAGGAGTATCAGTTCATGTCAGATTCCAAGTATACCCTAGTGAGAAGTTCTAACTACTAATACGAAACGTAAGTCAAACAGAACTTCCTGAAAAACTAACGTCCACCACCACCAAACATCCAATTATATATATTGAAGGAAAAATTTTGATGACTGATGAAATGTCAAAGAACTAATGAAATAAGTCACATTGAATTAAAGTTATTTACCAAACAAGATATCAATCTAATCAAATAACAAATTGACTGACATCTAATCTTAAATACAAACAACAAAAGAAGGAAAACACAGAAACAAATACAAACACTACGGAAAAAAAAAACAGAGAAAAGATCTTAACAAATTGTACACAACATTACTTTTCTATTCCCCTAAATTGTATTTGATTATCGACTAATGTATATTCAGTTTAGTTTTTTATGAAAACATGTAAATATTATTGGAAATTTGTTACACATATACGACTAGGGAAACTAACCTTAACACAGTGAATACACGAGCCATTTTACCAATTGCTCGAATTTTATTCCTGATAACATCTTTACGCGCTGTGATTTGTGCTTTAGTGAAGAATTGAAAATGAGAAAGAAATAACTTTTCATCCCCCCAAAAAAAGAAACGAACCAACGTAAAGAAATATTTGAGTAGTGGCACCCTGAGAAAATCATCTATTTAGGTTTAGGAGTCCAAGCAGTATCCCAGCCCTCACACAGATTGAATGATGAAGTGTGAAGTACATATATTTGGTGTCCCCTTTTGCTAACATTTGTGTGTACATAAATAAATATTTACATTGTGAAGTTGGTATGGTTTATAATAATAACAATAATAATAGCAGCGATTAAACTAGACAATTATTAATAAGTACACTAGTTGAAATTATGAGTCAATTGAAGCTAGACCACCATGGAAAACCTGGAAGCACTGGATGGCCGTGCGCGTGCACAATCCCAACCCCCGCGAAATTTGAACACAGGACCTACTATTAATAAGTGTGATCAAAGAATAGTTTACAACGATTCTCCGTTCGTTCATAAGCTTCAAAATATCTGATAGTTGTTGAGCGTAAATAAAAAAAGATCGAAATTTCTAGCATCGATCTTTGTTAGATTCATGGATCCGTACAGCTAACGAAACAACTGTCCAATGCTTCCTAGTTATAGAGATAAAATCAATAAATGTTTTTATTTCTAAGTTAATAGTTTTTAATGAATAATGACTGGTCAAAGGTTTCTATTCAATCTGTAGTGAAATTACAACTAAACGTAATGATGAATATGAAACGGTTTATTTTTAACTATATCACAGTGAGAAACAGTCCTGTATTGAAAAAAATCTATTAAGACGATAACATATTTGCAGAAAAGATGTTTTTGGCATTACATTAAGAAAATATGTATAAAATGAAATGAAACTTCAGAACAATACTGAGTGTTAATGATAATAATTAAGCTCAGTTAATAAAGAATAATCAAAGCAAATAAGTCAGTTGATAAAATTATTAGGTGTAATTGATGATTGAAGCAGTCAATGAATAATGTATCTCACAGGTCAAATGATCGTCTAACATAATGAGCAATACTAAACGACAGGTGATCATAAACTTTAATTACATAAAATGTAGAATGTTGCTGAAATCTTGAACTAACCAAAGTTAGATAACCGAAAAAACTGGGAACCTATTTCGTCCTAGTATGGAAATCTTCGGCCGTGAGCATCCAATAGCATACTAGGTATAGGATCAAGGACCTACAAGTCTCGAGGTGAGAGTTAAACCTTTAGACTACCAAACTATATTTCTGACTTCAAACACTTCGTGACATTTTGCGCCCATCTTTCAATGCCATTGAACTCCACTAATCCCGGTTCGTCAATAGGACTCCCGAACCGGTGATTAAAAAGATGTCAAGTAATTCCTTATTTTCAATGGTTATCTAACTAAGATCGATTCGTGATGTAAACCATGGAACTTAACAAACTCTTAAGACTAATATCAAAAACGTTTTAGCTGATTTTTATTAAAGGAACACTAAAAATAGTGATAATCATACATGGGATTGCGAATAGGTATCTTTTTTTGTAAGAATATTGTTTATTATGAAGATAAATAAATCAATAAACATATTGTGTGTAAAAAATATGAAGAAGAAGAAACGGTTATATATGACTCTTTAAAATGTCCCAATCTAAAGACATGTAACTTAGAAAGAAAAGCAACTTACATCATCTACAGTGCGAATTGGGGGGAAAAAAAGACAGCCAGCTAGCTAGTTTATAAAACATGTAATTGTTTCCTTTCATTCTGTCGGTTCTTTTTCACATCATTACCATTATTATTATTATTATTATTATTATTATTATTATTATTATTATTATTATTATTATTATTATGATCGATAGACAGACAAATTAATTTCAATCATTATATAGCTTTTGTGATAATGCTTAGGTTAATTCATTTGATGTCATACTAAACAACTGGCTATGATGTTAGACAATGATAAGGTAAATAACTCAATTATCATCAGGTACATATTTGATATCAAGACATATTCTAAACGTAAGGATTAGTGATCTCACTCGATTGTCAGTCCGAAATGGGTAAAATAAAATTCAAATCTTCAACTGTAATGACTGGAAGTTGAAGGTACTGAACTCTATCACTGATTCACTAAAATGGAAGCGATTCCCAGATTGTTCTGAATCTAGATTTTATGTTAGTTAACATTCCCTCTCATCAGTGCTAATACTTCTTCTAGGATTTAAACACATCATATAGTGTCAGACATTACCACAGGGTTGTTTGGATCATAGTCGATAATATTCGGACGTCAGTACAGAATGTTTGTGGAGATTATCGAATTTTACTTTTACGTCACAGACTGGTTTCAGTGAGACAGCCACTAAAAAATCCAGGAAGTAATGGACAGTCTTTGTCTTATTATTAGACCCGTTTTAACATTATACACCCATAGATTCACTAGGTGGGATCGAACCAGAGTTCCTTCAGGAATTGTGATGAGCATCTGAGCTTTAAAATAATGAGTTAAGGTCTAATAGTTCACACTTCTAAATTCGATCAGATTATGATATTGCGTGTCCATCTTCTAATGACATTGATGGATAACTAGCCCACATCCGACATGACAAAACTCCATTGGTTATAGTTTTCCAACAGAACTCCAACAGTTACCCCTTTAACTCACTCACTAATGACCAGATGGTTATTGTCAGCATAAACGGCCTACAGAGATAATCGAATATTGACACAACACCTGTGAGGTCCTGGAGATCAACTCCAAGTACCTTTATGGATGCGAAATGATGAAGAATTCCGTGTTTTAGAAATACACCTGTACAATGTTTCCTGGTCTTCAACTATTTAATTTCTTAAAGTATTTAGCCTTTTCAGGAAAGTATTTTTATCTATAAACGTAACTGCCTCTAAGGGAAAACTATGATTTCAATTAGAATAAAGCTTCAGTTTGGATTGGATTTTAACCGGAGGTCAATAGACTACTAGTATACTTCTCTTAACTACTATTAATGTCACTTCCACTAATCCCATACTGATTGATCCTTGAGTAACAAAAATAGTTAATCAAAGAGGAAATTCCAGATTCAACAGGATTTCCGTCACATCCTTATATAACATGATGTTCACGTATTTGACTAAATTAATGAGCGACAAGCGCTGAAATTGCGCAGAAAGCATTAGGCTACAACAAGATTAAAGATATCAAAGATCGTTTCAGCATGAAACTTAAGACTGTCATCTAACCATCAAGTAGATCTTTAAAACTGTCTAAGTAGTGATCTCCAACTGAAAAAAGTAAAAAAATAAAAGTAATCCACTCAATATATATATATACACTTACATTCATCTTCTGGTGTGTCCGATAGCAGTTCATCATCTGAACATATATTAAGTACATTGACCAACATTTCGGTAACTAAATAATACAATTTAATAAATAAAATAGTAGTTCTATTAACTTAATTTATATGAAAATAGTTTTCAACAATCCAATGATAAAGAGAATTTACAGGTCAAGTGGATTAATAATATTTTTGGTGATGTATTCTCTGAGTCAAATGATATAATAGAGATTTCTTTATTTAGACGGTAAATCATGGACATGAATTTGATTGAAGAAACACCTAAAATCTGAATCTAAGGAATTCTAGGAATCCCAGAGAATTTCTACAAACCCAATAACCAGATCAATTGGCAATCAAAAAATACCCCAACAAAAATCCAGTCCATCAATCTATAAGGAAGGGGTTAATCGAATAAATAGTTAGAGATCGACCATAAAGGATCATCAACAGGAATCTGGTATGATGAGCCAATCAGAAGTAGCTAAACCAGAGTACCACTCGATGACAAACAGAAATGACCTGAAGGACAAACGCATATCATTGGCTAGGAAATTGATTGTCTAAGTGGTAGAAAAAAATATATATATATTATTCGGTAGCTCAATAGACTTTCTCTTCTACTCCCATATAGAACTCAACATTATTTTTTAATAATCAATTATTTACAAGTGACAAACAATTCAATGTTCAGTGATGGTATGCTTTTTTTAGAGAGATAAACGCTTATTCCAAAGAAGAAAAAAAAGGAATGCGAATTCCTCACAGTTTGTCGTGATGAGAGACTCAATGTTATAAAATGATTAACACAAATTTGAGAGGAAAAATGTGGTTATATGTAGAAATGAGAATCATCAACCCCGAGATGAGGATAAACATTTACAAGACCCACATGCGAATTTTACAGATGTCTTTTTTCCTCTGAGCTGTATAGTTTAGTAGTGTATATTGTACTAGTGAGGAAGTTTTCATTATGACTACGTTCTCTCGTTTCCAAACAGTAAATGTATTGCACAGTTAAACCATTCAGCTCAGAAAATAAAACATCTTAAAAATCCCAAACTTTTCTCGTTTAATATAGAAACAAACACTGTTCTATTAGAACAAGACTTTAGATAAAAAACCGAAAGTATGTTCATTGATAATGATAAAGATTTTTACGTTAAAACGAAACAAATATCATTGAAGTGTCAATTTATGATTTAGATATGTTCTTGAAATAAACAAATAATTCAGTTTAACATAAAGTTATTGCTCACATTCACATCGTTATTAATGGATAAAATGGTGACTCTGAGGTTGAGGCGTTCAATTTCAACCACTATGATCCAGATTTCAACCCCGTCTTACATATTTCAGTCTGGGCAACCAGATACGGTATGTGATATGTCATCCCGAACTGATGTAAGTACGTATGAAGTTCTACGTTTTTGACTGACTAGGCAGTCAGGTAGTATTATAAACCCTTCCAATCAGAAGTTGATCTCATAGCCAAATACATAAACATGTAACTGATAAATGAGCATAGCCATAGTTTAGCTGTATTCAAGAAGTTATGACAGTCTTAAATTCAAAGGATTTGTAAAGGCTGTTCAAAGTTGAAAGTTATTTTACATTATGAAACTTATAAACACAATTCAAGAATATTGAAGGATAGTCTTTTCAGTTTAGTGTTTTTACAACTCCAACACTTAAAAAGTATGCACAATTCAATGATCAACAAGGACTTCAAAGTAAGATATTGATCTATTCACGTCACGTTACAAACATGACATAATCATTGAACTACTACTATTAAATCACAAAAAATTGTTTATATTTCCAATTTCAATTAAGATTTACAATTTCTACGTGAAGTAATTTCTGATAATTTTGTTGCCAGGAATGACAATGAAAGTCTTGGAACTGAACCATTTATCTCAGAGAACACAATGTAACCAGCTCCCCTCCCCATCTATGCGACATATTTACTATAAATTACTGCAAATTATGAAATTATTGTAATATGACTGAATAATTCTATTCTTTTTATAGGAAAAACAAAACAATAAAAATTAATTCCTACTTGTAAAACCCAAAACAATATAACGTTTACATATTTATAATTGATATGTAGTTAGTTAGTAAACCTGTTTTTCCCTTAAAAAAAAATGTACACACACTTTATATTTGTGTTCCATTTACTTCATCTCATCCATAAATCAGAAAAGAGAGAGAGAGTGAGAGAGAGAGAGAAAGGACGAGAAACAGAGAGTGAACAACTGAAAGAGGAAACATTTTAATTCTCATGTCAAAACGAGTTAAAATATTTACAACAATAACAAATTGAGCGGAAAAAAACTGAATTCTCTATTCATTAATAATAATGAATTAATTCTCGTGTTTAAATATCGTCACGAACACACATATACACAGAACAAAAGTACACTGTAAGAAAGAAGTCAACAAAGATGAAGAACGCAAAAGTGAGCGTGAAAGGGAGAGAGTACTCATGTAGATAAATCACATAATCAGTAAGGAAATATATTGAGACACGCATATATATGGGTTGTATTCCCCCCACACACTTAGTAAACACAACGTACATTCTAATGTTACGAAGAATTATATCACAGCGATATTTTTTTTAAAAGAAAATACAGAGAAAATAACATTTGAAAAGCAATTGATAACAAGTAAGATATTGACGATGTAAATGTAAGCTGTCAAAGTGTAATAACAACGAAAACAATAACAAAACAAAATCCATCATCATCAGTTTATTTTTGTGTGTGTATCACCACCGAATATAGGCGACCAATGGAAACAATGATGCATACAAATGGAAAAAAAGGCAACAACAAGGAAGGCGAGGTGAACAAGTGACAAGCGGCAAAGACACAACACAACACGAACAGGATAATGACATAAGTAAAGGGACAACTATTCAGGAAAGAGTAGCAAACGAAGCTGAGATCAATCTTTGTTCGGAATTATTATTATTGTTTTACTATAATTATTAATATGTAACGTAAACAAGTGGGACTATTGTGAGTAGACTGAGTGAATGTGGTAAAAACATTTGGTCATCATCATTTCAACGACATCAACAGTGTGAAAGTAATATTAGGCAAAATATGAACAGAATTTTGAGATTAATAGTATAAAAGCAGTTTCTAATTGTTTAGTTAGGAGAAAATACACATGCACACCACCAATCCAGTCTCTACCAGTTGGAAAATAATAACATTAGGAGATTGAGAACAACAAGAGACAGCCATGCGGTGTGTGAAGAACATTGAGGAGATAAGGAGAGATAGGAAAGAGTATAGGATACAATTTAGAGAGAGACGAAGTAGCAGATACGACGCTATTTTACTTAGATTACCAAATAACATAAACAAAGTGGATTCAATGGTGAAAGGATGTTCGTTCCCAGTTATTTTTTCCGAAAATAATTAAACAGTGTGCACAAACAAATCAATAATCGTTGATGATAATGACGCTGATTGTATGAAAGGGTTGGAACCATCGAACTAAATATAATACCATATGAAGAGTAGGACGAAAAGATGGTGTTAGTGAAACTATCAACATATTAGGTACAGGGAAGAGGAAATAAGGCGGAGTAGAATTACCAACTCTTGTAAATAAAACATTTTTTAATATGTAACTAACTGATCAACTTTTAGTACTGAACTTCAACCAACAATAAAGTAAAACCATCTTCAAGTGTTCTTGACAAATATATAGATGCATCACATGACTGAGCTATGCTATATTCGGACTTTAGAAAGCCTGAATAGTGTCTAGTTATCCTGAAAAGTAATGTGAAAGTACCCTCTTACAGGCTGCGTCTATAATCATCTAAAGACTAACATAGATCATTTGATCTCTTAACGTTATTCTTAAAGACTGGATGATTTCGTTTCTTATATCTAATCATTATTTTAAGAAACATTGAAACTTTGGCATATATATATATATATATATATATATATATATATATGTAGGGTTGTGGAGATTATTGAGATTTACAAGTGCGCAGTGCAAACAGACTTCGACTAGAAAAAACAATGAAAATCAAGAATCACTGGGCAGCAGTTTCGCGAGAATATAGATTCGTTAACAGTGCTCATTTATAAAGCCACCAGATAGAAATCAGGACCTAAAGGCCTCTTGGTCTGAGGGTTAGAAACCCGTAGAGATATTAGAAGGCTTCAAATTTGATATGCATATCTCATCATTACGGTAAATAGATTTGATGTAAATGTCAACAATTTAAAGATTGTTACAAAAGAGATCCAATATGAATGTCGATCAAGAATTCCAGATACAAAATAATATTTATAATAAAATTAATAAGATAGAAACAAATTTTTGTACAACTAAGCAAGTAAGCTGCTTATCACATTCAGGAGCACCTATTTATATAGGTATAATCAATAGATGATGCAGAGAAATTAGGTCATTTTATTTTGCAAGAATGTTCTGTGTGTTTTTTTTATATCATTTGTAGTGTTCAATTGAAAGATTCCATCTGATTTACACTTTAACCTACATTACACTGAAGAAGCTTTGACAGTTGATGATTGGAAGTCAGAATAATGTTAGTAAAGCGTTTTATAAAATTTTCTTTTTCACTCACATTCTCTTTTCATACAGTATACTCAATAACTATCAAAAGATCAACTGTCTTAGTACTTTTGATGCTTACTAATAGCATCCCAATAAGCCATTAAAAGTATAATGTAGAGCGCAATTTGTTTTTTTAAAAAACATTCTGTATCATCTTGAACTCTACTCAACTAGTTTATCGTAGCAGGAATAGACATTAATGCGAGATGTTATATGATTAAACTTAGTCAACAGAAAACCCTGAAACTACGTTGCCTTTTGGTTACCTCTAATCGTTTACAATCCCAACAAAGTCCATGTGCTAATGGGTCACCTAGGTTAGTCGTTACATTGGAATTCAATCGACAGAATTCGATTGGCACATGACACTGGTCGCTACTGAATGATTGAACAATTGTAACTATTAAATTATTTTGTGTGCAATCATGCTATAGCTAAAATTAATAAATAATAATCAGGTTTATAAACTGCACACTTCCTGTCACTTGAGATTGTACTCAATACCCAAGTATAGTCATTTTAAAATGAATGACTAATCATCTTTCATTTATGTCATTTTGATGATCGTCTTGATTGATATCCGCCCGTTTTAAATGACACCTTTATGTTGAAGTAAACGAAGATAAATTTCGTTATCATCATAATCATCATCAACAATAATCTTTAAGGCTATTTAACTATCATTTGGGACGAGAAGTAAATAATTTTTTTCATTTTAAAACCCTTATCAACTTAATTTATTTACGAAGTAACAAACAAGCTGCTTATTACTTAACTTCTGTCAATAGTGGTAAAGTCTTAACAAAAACGATAATAAATGATTCCTTTTAATTAATTCAATTTTTCTCATGACCTTACTCTTTTCGGATTGATAATCACTATGTTGATTCAGCCAATTTTCGGCGTCATTCAAGGTCAACCCCCCATTACTAATATGCATACTAAGTTGTACCTTCTCAAGTTAACTGCTTTAATGACAAATTTTCCTATACTTCACCTTTTCCTGGATTACATGCTAATTATTGAAGTGTTGTGTACCAGCTGTCATTGTCGAATCCATGAGAGAATTAATTTCACAAGTTGAAATCATGAGCCAATCGAAGCTAGACCACCATGGAAAACCTGGTAGCAGCGGACGGCCGTTTCGTCCTAGTACGGGACTCCTCAGCAGTGCGCATCCACGATCCCGCACCCCACGGGATTCGAACCCAGGACCTACTGGCTTCGCGCGCGAGCACTTAACCATTAGTCCCATACTAGGACGAAACGGCCGTCCAGTGCTTCTAGGTTTTCCATGGTGGTCTAGCTTCAATTGGCTCATGATTCCAACTTGTGAAATTTCTGAAAATCTCCACAAAACCCATTCTGATAAGAGAATTAATTTTTGATTAGACTAGTTCAATCATTTCTTCATTTACAAGTATCGTGGGAAAACCGGAGATCACAACACTGTAATCCTTGTTACAACGACTTAACACAAACAAACAAACAAACATTGAAATAAGTCCATTCTTTTCCACTTCTACCAATAATAATAATAATAATAATAACAAAAATTATAATAATACCGTCATTAATAGAAAAACCTTAATTATGATAAAATGATAGAATAAAAACTAATTAAGCTCTAAAAACGTTTTGCTTTTATTATCATTTTTATCTCTGTTTTTTTCTTCTTTCTATAAAACCGGGACTTTTGTTGACCATAATTAAGAACAGAAAGTTAATGAAAATGTAAGGGAACAAAAAGAAGAGGAAATTAACAATCTAAAACACAAATATACACAACAATTTAATTGGAATAAAACTGATTATTCTCGATCATGATAATAACTGATTATGGAAACGAAAATAAACAAACAAACAAAGACTGGAAAGAAAGTGTTTTACTACGCTTGGATATAATTCTATTTTTTCGATCACATCGAAGATGTTAACCAAATTCAATATCATTTTAGTTACAAACGATTTTTTTCTTCTTTCATTATTCATTTATCTAATAGAAATTCATGGAGTACACTTTAAGTCATTCGTTAAATGTGAGAGCTATTGATTATATTAATTAGTTGCTCAAACGGAATTAAATAGAATCGGATTCGGAACTGTAACTTAGTGGATGAAAATCGAACAATTTAACCATTAAATCACAGTGAAAACAATCGAACTAAGTTATTTCATTTTAAACAACCTGTAAAGTTTAACTAGTATCACTATTATTATCAGAATGGGTTTTGTGGAGATGTTTAGAAATTTCACAGATTGAAATCATGAGTCAATTGAAGCTACACCACCATGGAAAATCTGGAAGCACTGGACGGCCGTTTCTTCCTAGTATGGGACTCCTCAGCAGTGCGCAGGACCCAGGACCCATTTTGATAATAATAATCACCTGCTCATCAGTGACTGACTTCAGGAGATACTCCTGGAGTTCTAATGAGAAGTTATTACCAGTGGAGTTCAACCAGGTCTGTTGCGAGATACCAGCTCACTGAAGACAATGGTGTACGATGGTGCAACTTCGTGGATTGGTTGAAGTTAGACATTAACACCGTTGCATGCCGGCTCAGCGATCTAGTTGGTTAAGCGCCTGGCGCGAGACTGATAGGTCCTGTGTTCGAACCTCGCGGGGTGCAGGATCGTGGATGCGCACTGCTGAGGAGTCCCATACTAAGATGAAACGGCCGTCCAATACTTCCAGCTTTTCCATAGTGGTGGTCTAGCTTCAATTGACTCATGATTTCAACCAGTGAAATTTCTAAAATCTCCACAAAACCCATTCTGATATTAACCGTTAAATCACAGTAAAAACAATCGAACTAAATTATCTCATATTAAAAAACCTGTAAAGTTTAACTAATATCACTATTCTTTATGATACTTAGTAAATGAGTAATATTACTCATCAGTAGTACTATCCTACAATTTCTTAATCATTGTTTTCATGAATAATTAAAACAAATAGTTTCATTTTATTCATGTGTTTAAACTGTCATTATATAACTGTAATTAAATGTATATTAGATAGAGAATTGAATGTAAAATCGCTCATTCCATATACAATCTTGACTATAGGTGGACAGTACTGTGTTTTGATGATCAGTTGCATAGTTGATTCTTTTTATGAGTATATGTTTAACACTGATTGTTATTATTAGCACCGGTATACTAAGTTGAACTGTGATTCTTTCTGTTTAACTAATCAGTTATTCACTTTGACCAACTCTTTCTGGAAATAACGAAATCAAGTTCCGTACAACTCTCTTGATCTTTATATCTTCTACATATATAAACATAAGAGCAATCAGTTTTTATTTTAACCTCACCAATTCATTTTATAAACATTATAGACACAATTTTCTTTTTTATTTAAATAAACAAACATCATCACCTACCTTTTTCACCAACAAATGGTAATGACCAAGTAAATACATCCATGAAATTCGGTAGCCAATATGGATGTGGTGAACAGTTAAACTGACGTATATTCATTACATTATTTTCATATTTTAATATAGCGGCTAAAAAAACATTGAACAAAAATTACCGATTTAGTAACCAATCATTCCATCGGTTGGTTGGTCAGCGAATTGACCAAAAAAAAAGAAAACAAAACATAACAAATCAATAAAGCTAGAGGAAAATTAGTCACAGCATAAGTAAATAAAGAATAGCAGATAAAAATATGGGAGAGAAACAAATCCGAAAAAACACAAGGGATTTCAAGTGTTATTTTAAAATAAAACACTCAATTAGGGAAAATATTTAGAAAGAAACAAATAATTTACAAAAATAAGCAAATATAATCACTAAGCTAAAGTAGTATTCAACGATGTCTTGGTAACGTTAAATAGTAGTTTGGACTGCAATAAATGATGCGCGTTTCTTCTAATTTGAGACTCGTCAGTTAAATGTGCACCTGTATCAAACTGTGTCGATGTCCATAATAAGGTTTGAACCCATTGCCTTTAACTTCAAACGCCTAGTGTTATCTGTTGAGCTACTCAGATCAGACAGAAGCCAACGTGAGCAAAATACAAAGCCTTTAAAATAAATCTCACACCTCTTGTACAAGTTAACGTCTCTTTTGACTCAGTAGTTTAGTGGACAACAAGTTGAGCATCTGAAGTGAAAGGTACCGGGTTCGAGTTTCAGTCCAGGCATTAATACACTAGGATAAAAGTACATCCGGTTGGTAAGCCCTAAATCGCAAGAAATGTCCGTCCTAGATTCCACTGATTCCCACTATCCAACTTTACTAAAATACCTGTGACTAAACGGAGATATCAAAGCGATCCACTCAATGATCCACATATACCAACAGAAAAAGATCGATTGTAGTACTAGTACCATACTAGGGTGAAAGTTGTCTTACTTAAATCGGTCCATCAGTTCAGCAACCGCTTTTTTCGAAAATTCAATGTACCAAAATAGATCAAAAACATTTTTGTCATTATTGAAGTTAGCCTTCATTAAATTAAAGAATTATACTAAAAAGCAATAGAACACTAGATGGTCGTATTGTCACAATGTAGAATATCTCAGATAATAAATAAATGAGCATAATTCTATACAAGATCATTTAATCAATCATAATCAACATAAGAGTCGGGTAGAAATATCCGTTAACTTAAGCTGACATATATCATTCAAACGACAAGATAAATAAACACGCGTCCTGGATTACACTACTAGCCACTATCCATCCTTGTATATAATGCTTGTAAATTAAGGAAATATAGAGGCAATACGCACAGTATGCACATATGCCAATAAGAGACTGATCAATTGCAGCCCTAAACATCAATGGGAAGATTCAAGTAAAACAATCCCAAGTGAATTAAAGGAAACATCTATTTAAAGCAGACATAATCATTCTCAATTTAGTAAAGTATGTATAATGTTATATGGTACGATGTGAATAAAAAAACAATCATGTACAAGTCTGTGTGTGTGCGTGTGAATGCAAATGTATGAAATAAGAGATACAACTTTATGTTCACGAAGTAAAATAGTTTAGAGTCAATAAATCATGTGACTACAAAACACTAACCGAAGGTATCTTCATTCATGTCAGTAAATCTTTTTTTTCTTCTTAAATAATAATTCTGTTGTGACCGCTTCTTTGACCTTAAAGTAACTTTATATTACTAAAAAAAAATCGTGGCTACATCTATAACACATAAAACAGTTAATCATTGTACAGTATGATTATTTCTTACTATATTTATGCTGATTTATACAGATTAATGAGTAGATGGTTCAGGCAAAGAAATTTTGTATTCAATGATGTTGTGATGCATGCTACTTGTACAGACAAATAAAAGTAGTATGTAGCACTAATAGAAACTGAAATGCCTGGCAGCAGAAGATTAAAATGAAGAGAATAGAAAGAAAATTGGAGAGCAATAGAAATAATAACAGAATTTGAGGAATAATGGGGTGTGTAAAGGATAGCACAAATAGGATGTGCAAATGATGCATTTAATGTATGGTTTTCAGATTTTACTAACCCACTGTGTGATTTTGTTTTAGACAATAAATTGATCTTCCTCACCTAAGCTCTTGTCCACTACAATGTAATTTACTTAAACTATCTAAAAGTATTTATTTTTTTAAACAGCCCCCAAAAAGAGAGTGAACTGATAAATGAACACCGAAGTGACCAAAAGCGCTAGTATACGATGAACCATTCTCCTGAATAAGATGTTCAATGGAGAAAACAATTACGAATTTTTATAAGTATATATATATATATATATATATATATATATATATAGTTTACAAGAATTATCTTGTCAATGTTTCACTGACGCAAGATTCGGAGTTGATTAATAATTGATTGAGATAAAAAAAGTTATGGAAGGGGTACATCTATTTGGAAGACATTTAACGTAGGATGTTGCTCTGATTTGGATACGATTTCTACTTCAACAGGAATTACTATCAAATAAACACTAAGCTTAAGGCCTGAAGTTCCTGAGTTCGATCCCAGATGGGATTGTCGATATTCTTTGTACAGTGCTTACTGATTTTCAAAGGTTGTCTAATCAAGGTCAGTTCTTGATATCAACTAAAAAATGGAAATGGTCACAAATTGATGATAATTAATGATGATCACGTTATCTACATTTTAAAATTTATTACTGAAGTCAGTAAAATATGAACTGTTAGAAATTGTGAATCGATTATACAAGAATACTGTATTCGCAACAAGGTGATGGAGAATATTTACATCTCAGAATGAGGAGTTTGGTGGTGTTGTGTTTTATCAGCAAGATAACTCAATCACGTAAAGTTTTCATTGGCCTTCTAGAGAATATTTCATTTCCCCCCCCCTAACACAGGAAACATACAAAAAAGTCCGACTTTTTCATAAGCCTGATACTCTAATCACATACGCACTAACCAGTAGACACATCAGAATCCGTCTAATCTGTAAGCCAGCAAGAAAAAGAAAATACAAATGCAATATCAGGGGGAGAAAACACTTGGAATAAACATCCAAACAACAATCACACGAAAAACTGATAACATTTCAAGTGAACAGAATAAATCGTCAACCGACTATGGTAAAATTCTAATAAGTCGCAATATGCGCTAATGCTGATGTTTAGAAAGCTTCATACGAATAAATCATTCAATTAAGATATCACAACACGTTTCCAAGATCACTACCAAGTCTTCAGTTCAATAATACATCAAGAAAAGCAAAATAATCACCAAATTAAATCAATTGACAAGTAATTACATCCTATAAGAATAAATTATCATCTTGACAAGAAAAGAATCGGTAGATTGTTTAGCTCTCAACTTTATAAATAGAACAAGAAAACAAAATGACGTAAGTGTAACTTTTAAAATATGCTAACATTAAAGATAAGAAATTAATTTAAGAATTTCAATAGGATTCCTAGTACAGCAATCCTGATGAGTAACAACTACCATAAAATTTAGATTCAAGATTTCCTATCAATTTACTCTGACAACAAAGCTCATTGGTCATATTAAGTTCTGTCAAAAACAAAAACAAAAAAATCTTTACTTCACTGAAACAATTCTGTTTGATGTTAAGTGTTTTGTGAAATGGAGATGCTTTGTAGCTTAGCTGAGTAGATTGATCTACACTACACTATGGATAAATAATCATGAACTAAGGCAAACAAGTTGGTTAATTACTAGTTTGTACTATTTCCAATCATTTATACATATGAATAACATAGTTTGATAATGAGATACAATTATCTATTATAGTTATCTGATAATAAAATCTCTTTATACTTATTATAAACAGTAAACAATTTGTATCAATGTTTGTTTGTTTTGTTGAAGTATCCGGTTAATCTTTAACAAAACAGTGAAATTGAACATATCATTAATTATTTTAGATTGTTACCGAAATGTTTGTAGGGCTAGATTTTCTTTTTTCTTTGAAAAGATTTCTTTTCATTTAAGAAAAAGTGTGAACTTTATTCGATCTTCATATTATCTTTCTCTATCATGAATTATTTACCCGATTGAATTGTCTTTATTGTGAATTAATTAACAATTATTTATCATCCGAAGGGGTTTTGTAGAGATTGTAGTAATTTCAATAGTTGAGATCGTGAGTCTATTGAAGCTAGACTACTATGAAATACCTGGAAGCACTGGAAGGCTGTTACGTCCCACTGTGGGACTCTTCAGAAGTGCACATCCACGACCCACCTCGCGGGATCTGAACCCAGGACCTATCAGAGGTTAAGCGCTCACGCACGAGACCGATTGTTATCTTAATTTTATTTAAATAATATTAAAAATATATTTTTTTAAGTGAGAAAAAGAGGAGTGTTATTTTGAAAATCTACACTCGAAAGAGAACATCAAATAAAACAAATGAACATGAAACAAAATTAGTAAACAACTAGAGAATAATTGATATCAGGAAATAATCTAAATGAAGAAGTGGTTGACTTAATGTTTAAAGTATTACATTTTAAGCCATTAAATCGTGGATTCGAACTCAGTTCCATCTATTATGATTCAAGCAATTGAATAGTACCACTTGTTTTCATCATACTTAAAATATATATATATATATATATATATATATATAAATCAGTATCTCGTGAGTTAATAGTCATTAATTCTAGTTCGGATGAAATGGTTTTTTGTGATGACGATTTTAAATCGTAGGTGGTTTTACTATAGACTAGTTGATTTCATTCGAGGCATCACTGAAAATCAGGAAACATCTAACAGATGTTTCATTCTAGAATAAGAAGATTTAGTATTATGCACCCATAACCACATCAAGAACAGAACCTTGGATCTTTAAATTATAACCACTAGACTACTGAGTTATCATGTAATATTACAAATTTCCAGATTAAATCAAATTCATTACATTGAATATCACCCCTTAATGCCACTCTAGAGAGAACGGCTTCACATGTAATATGTCTTAACCTAACCAATTACAATTCCTCATCAGAATTTCAGGAATTCATCTAGAACTAAGACACTAACAAGTCAATGTCTCCTTCATATTGAAGAGGTTAAAGAAGTTTACAAACACAAAAAAGAAACCTATGATGCTTTTGTTAGTCTATATACGTCTATTAATAGATGTGAAAAGAAAGAATGCGATATATATAAAACTGATTTACAATCAATCGACATGTAACTATATTTAGTTATATATACCATAAATAACAGTAACATTATCCTAGAATGAGATAGTTCACAAATTGGTGAGCACAAATTTATCACAAAGCAGGCAAAATATCTTAAAATAATCTAGCGAGAGTTCAACCTTTAAACTGTTGAGCTGGTATCATCCATTAGTTTATATACATAATCTTTAGTAATTGAATTCATGAGTTGATTAAGGCTAGACCACCAATGAAAATCTAGAAGCATCAGATGGCCGTTTCGACCATATATAGGACTACTCAGCAGCGCGCATCCATGATCCCACAAGTAGGACTCAAACATGGGACATTCGGCTTCGCGCGCGAACGATTAACATCTAAACCACTGAGCCGAGATCCAACCGTGTAAATGTCCAACTCCAATCGATCCATGGTCCTGCGCAATTCTACATCCAGTGTTTGATATGGATAACTGTCTCACACCCAACACTGGTCACGGCTTCTCACTAGAAGTCCAGAAAATACATCTTAAAACCAGTCTTTAATTTGACAGTTTTGAGATCTTCAAACTAGACAGTTTAATTCTGAAACTCTCATTGTCATTCTAGACAATATTTTTTGAGGCTGATTCATGTACAAGTGATTTTTTTTAATTACTTCACAAATATAACATCAGATCATTTTAATAGCTTTATTTGTGTTTAACTATCATCATGTGTGTTTCCATCCTCATTTTCCTTAGCCTTATTCACACTGACTACCTTCATTGGTTTACCTCTATCCTTCTAATTAATTCGCAGTTCTGTTCGGATTCATAGACTGGATCAATATCAACTTGTGTACTGATTGTTTATTACTTTAAAATTCTTGTACTTTCTTCAGTTAATAATCGGGTATTTCAAACAACGATAGAAAGAAAGAACAGTTCAAAGAAGACATGAATCAGATTCTTCAGAAGCCTGATATGTTCTTCTACTAACGACAGTCAAATATTCATGATTTCAAAGTTTAATGAACAGAAATTAGAGACTGATTAGCAATCAATTCTACTTGTAGTGAAAGTTCCAAATGAGAAATAACACATTATTATCATGAGTAGATCAATGTTAGACCACTGTTGAAAATCTGGATGCACCAGATAGTTATTTAGTCCTAGTATGGGACTCCACAATAGTGCGTATCCTCCACGACCACCGAAGTCGGGAATGGAACACACGACCTTTCATCTCTCGAGCAAACACTTAACCTCTACACCATTGAGCTGACATTCATACTAGGACGAAACGGACGTACAATGCTCCCAGGTTTTTCATATTTGTCTGACATTGATCGACTCATGATTTCAAAAAAACTCAACAATCTCCACAATCTTATACTTACATATCAATATAATAAAAACAGTGAATACAGTCACATGGTATTCGAAGTAATGGGTGTGCATACAAGTTCCCAATATTGATATGAACATCAACATTGAGACGAAGATAGATGAGTCCTGTTGAGATGTCCCATATGGGCTGAAATTAGCCTCCTGAATCTTACCATACAGATTGTTAATATTCCAAAGTACAAAACATAGTCATAGTTTCAAACTAAACATACAATTTTGACTTGACTTTTTTTTCTAGAACACTAAGATTAGTTGCATGTGTTTGAAACGGGAGATTAAAAGATAATAAATATAAGTCGGATAGTAAATGGAGTAAAACAAACTGTCGGCAAATAACCTGCACAAATTTGTAATGACTAATACGACTGATATTATAATTACACTCATTTCATTCATTAGATAACTAGCAAAGTTTTAAATGTTAAAAGCTTGTTCATAGTTTTATGAATGTATTATACATTTAAGTCAAGAATCTTTATTAAATTTCACAGATTGAAATCATGAGTCAGTTGAAGCTAGACCACCATTGAAAACCTGGAAGCACTGGACGGCCGTTTCGTCCTAGTATGGGACTCCTCAGCAGTGCGCATCCACGATCCCGCATCACGCGGGGCTCGAACGCAGGACCTACTGGCTTCGCGCGCGAGCACTTAACCACTAGACCACTGAGCCGGCATCCAACGGTGTTAATGTCTAACTTCAACCAATCCACAAAGTTGCACCTCCGTACACCATTGTCTTCAGTGAGTTCCGATCTCACAACAGACCTGGTTGAACTCCACTGGTAACGGCTTCAATGGTGGTCTAGCTTCCACTGACTCATGATTTCAATCTGTGAAATTTCTAAAATCTACACAAAACCCATTCTGATAATCTTTATTAAAGATTGATTGTGAGTAGGACTGAAGTTCAAGACCAAAATTTCCTATTCGAATGTGACAACATCACAGTATTAATGTTCAAATCGAGATTTGAGTCCAATAATCATTGTTTCAAACGCCATATACTATCCACTAAGCTAATGACTTTAGATTATTACAGCTTAACACAAAAGGATTAACAAGATTTTATTTTAGTGAAAACAAATTTTAAGTAAAGAGGAAAAAAAAATTTTTTTTCTTATTTTTAAAGAGATGGATATTAAATTTCAACTAAGGTTTATCACTGATAATGTTAAACACATACAAACACGAAACAAATTTTTCACATTTCCATCTTGTCATTAAGTTGCTAACATGTTTATACAAACAAACAAGCAAACATCTAGTGAAGTAAGATCTAACTAACAAAAAAGTAAGTAGAACAATATGAAATAACATGATGTGCTGTTGTTGACCATGATAATGAAGACGACAATGCCAGGAACAAATTAAAAGCATACATGTACACAGAGCGTGTTTACAATTACACATGTTTCTTTTATAACTTTCATCTTTGTTTTTTTTTATTAAGGTTTAACTTCTTTTAATAGGTTTAAAAGTGGATCGAATATGTCGTTTTATGTCGACATGATTGTTGTTGTTCTTCTATTCATCGTCTCTCGAATTTAGACTCTTTTCAATTTCTTACTATAAAAAGTTGAGTTGATTAACTCACATAAAACAAGCTTGAATAGGTCAGAGATAAACATCATAGACTGTGAAATTGGATAATGTAGGCCCAAATCTTAAAAGGGAATATTATAAGTTCCCTGAAGATTACAAGTTCCAACACTAGCATCAAATCTAGACACAAGGTATTTTCATAACAAATGCCCATCAATCACTTTTTTAATGTTGATTATTATACTGAAATGATCAGCAGTGTTAAACGTGAGCAACTCTAAACAACTCTACGCGATTCAAGAGATTAGAAAACGAGTGATTGTACAAACCATTAGCTTCAAGTCTGAAATTTTACTCAAACAGTAGTGTGGTATATGCTACTTATCTAGACAGATATAAGTAGTATGAAATGTCAGTCGCAGGTGGAATGCATATCAGAGGATTGAGAAGATTGAAATGAAGAGGACAGACAGCAATTGCAATAACAACGGAATTGAAGAAATCATGAAGAATGTAAATGACAACTCATGGAAGATGTGCAAATAATGTATTTAATGTATAGTTTTCATAATTTATGATAGTACTCTGTAATTCGATCCCCACCAAGTGGTTTGTTCACTACGGTATTAGTAAAATTATTAACTGAACTTACCTTTATTATTATACACATCTAAATAATTTGGTGCTGAGAAAATTGTAATTAAAGCAGGAAATCCAGTTTGTCGACTTTTTCTGTACATTCGATAACTAAAATTGGAGAAAACAAAAATAATGAAGGAGAAAAACAATTCAATCAAAATGACGATATTCAAACAAGTTCCTTTTTTAAAGGATTAATAATGTGCATGTATTCTTTTCAAGAAAATGTTTTTAAAAAAGTGAAATATAGTTAAAACATGGACTATGTATGCCAACAACTACCTAGATCGAAGCATAATATTTGTCAGTGATAGCAGTAAGTTGAAAGAATGCTAGAAGTGGATCAACTAAGACATAGAATCAGCCAATGAAGTCATTAACAGTTAGATTGAGCCATGTTGGTAGTTGCAAACTATCTGGTCGAGGTCTACATGGCTATTACGATTGATGACTGGAAATAATGGTTGTTATGGTTTAATTATTGGTCGCGATGGTGTACATCCACATACTTTTTGTTTTTACTCAGATATTGGGGTTTGAAAATTATCATAAACCCTTAACATATTCTTTTCGAACCATACTATCGATGCTTGATCTTTTTCAGTATCACTAATATTATCAACACTTCCACTACTCTGACATTTATCTTGATAATGTTATTTCTCTGTACTGATACAGTATGGTAACTTGAACGGATTTAAATACGTGTCAGGTTCTATGTTCCATGTGACTTGTCGACTGTTAAATGTGTCTGATCAATATTAAATCGTATCTTTCTAAATATAGATATGCGTATTTTTTCATATTCTAATTACTAAAGGTGAATTTTTTTCTTAAATTCTACAAAACGTCTTTACTAAATTATCAATGATACTAAAACATGTCAACACAAAGACAATTTATAACATCAGAAGAAAATGAAGTATATGATATTAGCTAGAGCACCAATGAAAATCATTAAGAAATGAATACCTGTTTCGTCCTAATAAGAGACTTCTCAACAATGCGCACCCACGGCCTAACCACGGGAAATCGAGCTCAAAACCATCAATTAGGTATATACACTATTGGACGCTGGGCCTAATGGTTTAGGCGTTAGGAATTCGCACGTAAATCGATTCTTCATGAGTTTCGACAATGGTCTAGCTAAAACCAGTTCGTGATTTAACCTATGAAAAATACTACAATATCCATAAATCTCTTATGCTAATACAATAGATTTGCAAATATGTTTAATAATGATAAGTTGTACATTCACTTTGGGTTTCGCTTATATACTACAAACATTTAATGACAACCAATTTATGGTTTTTTAAATGATTTAAGTGAGAATTAATGTAAATACTTCAAAACAATTCATTAATTAGCATTATTCACTTCACACTATGTAATTAATGCCAATAAATTACAATAGATTATGCTAACAAATGATCAGTATCCCTTGAAGATGATTTATGCTAATAATAATAAGCATCATAAGTTTTGGTATTCTTACAACCACAAAAACATACATATTGACATAAAAAATTTGTTCAATTTATTAGCTAATGTAATTCACAATGAAACTTAACAACAAATGAATATGCACTACTGAGGAGTTCCATCGTCAAATATGATCAACCCATAACAAATATGACCTAAAAAGCCCTTCATCAGTTTCTCTTTACTGAAGTTTACATCATGGACTGGTTTTAATTAGATAACCAATGGAGACTATGAAGTATTGGATAGCTACTTTGTTCCTGGTATGGGACCCCTCAGGAGTGTATATCCACGACCCCATACATCGAAAACCGAACCCACAACTTTTATGTCTGGTGCCGGACAATTAATCTTTAAACCATTGAGTTAGCATCAAATGGAATAAAATAGCAGAACTATATAATAACTGTGTCAGAATTGAACAATCTGTGAGCAGAGAAAGGATCAACTATCCCCACAAACCCCCTGTACTGAGTACTAGTTACACATTTCCAGGAATAATTACTGGAGTACTGGTGAAAAGCCATGAACACTGATGTTCAATTATATCAGGTATGAGGCCCAACAATGGTATTGGGAGGTGGTTGTACCAGACAGTACTTACTGAAGTTATACATGTAAATCATCGGATCCCAGCTCAGTGGTTTGGAGGTAAAGCGATCGCTCAGAGACATGACGGTCTCGGGTTTGATTCCCGAGTGTGGGTTTGTTGATGCGTACTGGTGGGGAGTCCCATACTAAGACAAAACAGATTTCTATTGTTTCTCAGTTTGCGATGATTGTTTAACTAACATTTACTCAATAATTTTCGATCGTTCCTTCTTCACAGGATAGATACATTTTTATAAATAAAAGAATCCATCAACAATGCAGAAAAAATCACAAAAACCTTAAGTATAATAAATAATAGTAAAATTGTTGGAAATATTACATTTATTGTAATTAAAGCTTTCAATTATCTACACAAAATGTTACAAAATTACGTCCTATTAGTCTTGGCATTCTTATAAGCAATTTTAAAAAGACAACTGAAACTAAAGATTGTTTTTTTTTCTGCAAACGACAACGGAAGTTGAGAAACGTTTATTAATGCAGTGTATCTTGAAGTGTTACGATAAAAACTAATGAATTATTGGCTACTCTATTACAATCGACTTTCATTATGAATTGTTTTCATCTAGGAAATTATTGTTGAAAAATAAAGAGCACTTGTATGCTTTTTCGTCCTACCTTGGGATTCCTCACAAGAATAAACATACAACCTGAAAGCATCTCAGACAATATGATACTATTCAACAAGAAAGTCACGAAAAATATAGTATATTTCAAACATTCTACGCGATTAACGTTTGAATTCAATTGTAACTTGGATCATAGAAAAGTATATATGAGAAATCTCAAACTATGATAAAACAGCTTTCTAATGTTTTCTGAAATTCTGACCACCATGAACATTAAAAGGTGATAAAACTGGTGATGGAGAAAAAACGTTACATCGACTAATGTAGTTCCGTGTTATGTATTACGTATTTCAATGTATCGCTTATTGTATATCAATATCCAATGTCAATTCACAAATAACTACATTAAAATTACTACTAAACGATAATTGACACCAGTACATGGAGTTAATGCCTACTGAACTAGGATGCAGACATTTACATCATAAGAGTCCGTAACATATGTGTAAGTGAGAACTTAAGTGGAAAGACCAATTTATTGTTTAGTGCGAAATTACAGTGCTTTCCTTAAATGTGAAAACCCTATATCAAATACATAATTTGCACAACAACCAGTTGTTTCTCACAAACTTCCTTGTCCCTTCATTCCAATTATTGTTACAATTACTCTCTGTTGACATTCTTGATCTCTTCGATTCGATCTTCTCAAACTTCTGCTGCCAGGAATTCCACTTGTGATCGGTATTACGTACTACTTATATCTGTCAACATAAGTAGCATACACCACATATATATACAAGGTATGATTAGAGAACTCAGTTGATATAGTTTGAAAGTGATTACAATACAGTGTATGTATTCAATTTTTACTTAACTCCATGCTTTGAAACATTTTCACCTATATTTTCCGTTGAAACTTATTACAGTTTCTACTACCATTAAACAGAAGTATCTTGAATTAAAAGTTTTATATTTCGGTAATACAGTAACTGAAAACCACTAAAATGTATCCTGTTAAAAAGATAATAAAAAAATTACCAAAAATACTATTGAAAGTCTAAATATGAAAAGTGATCAACAGTTGCTTAATGAAAAGAAAGTCACAGAATGACTAAAAGGAATAAAGACGATTCTCAGTGATGACAACTTTCTTTATGAAGATATCATTTTCTGAAGACGTACAGTCGTATTTATAGGTAGTTTTTTTATATAGGTGATAGTCCGCGGTAAAATAGAAGAGTCTTACAAAATTATTAAAGACAGTCCAACTTATTCAATTATTTGAATGTGAAAGTCAAGGAATTAGTGTTGCACAATATAATCAAGATAATCAGGTCGCATCCGACCACGTGAATCATAGTTCGAAATCCTCTACAAAGTAAAAAGTAATGGCTCTAAAAAAGGTTTGGATGAGAAACTTGTGCATAACGGAGAGTATACCTATTCTCCATTTCAAACCCGATTTCTGGGTACAAAAAAGTCATGTTCAATCCCTCATTTTCCCATGGCATTGTCTCAGCATCTCTTCGAATATTACAAATCGCAAGTACTCTTCACTTTCTACTTCGTAAAGCAGATAGTTATCTTCTGTTTTTATTCTATAAATTATTACTTCTTCTTACTTCCAACACTATTACACAACTTTAGGTATTAATGATTTCTGATTACCTTACCAAATGGTACAACTTCCATCCCTTCGATTTGTTCAATACTTGAAATCTTTTGATAATCTTGATTATATTATATAATACCACTTCATATTTTTTGACTAGTTTCGACAATTTTGTAAAACTCCTCTGTTTTGCCGTAGATTATTACATGTATTTAAAAAACTACTTATAAACATTACGATTGTACAGCTTCAGAAAATGATGTCAACGAAAAGAAAGCCACCTTCTCCGAAAATTGTCTTCATTCTTTCTTCTTAATTAGTTTAATGATAAAATGCTAAAAAACAAATCAACTAACCCGGCATCTTGTGCTTCATGAGCTCGTATAATAGACAGTAAATTATTAGCTTGTAAAAAATGACAACATGCATTAAAGCTGTAGAAATATGAACATCCACGAACTGTATTATGACTGAAATGTTCCGAATTTCTTTCTTGACCAAAATCTTCACATGGATCAGCCCATAATAAATCACACATTGCACCAAATGCTGGTGGTTCTTTAAATCGATCCAACTTTGAGAGAAAAAAAAAACAGTGAAAGTTATTGTATAAGATCTTTAAATTGTTGACACTTATTAAATTGTACATAACTGCGATTGATCATGAAATGAATCTACACCATAGAGTAGCATTAGTTCTTTCAAAATTGACGGTACACTTTACTGTGGACAAGTACCAAGCAGTATAAAACTTGGGTTAAAAACGGCTTACTGACAACTAGCATCAACCATCTAACATCTTAACATAGTGTACACAATATTGACTGTTACTTAGACAAGTAATAGTCACATTGCAACTTGATTGAAAAACGGACTATACAAACGTGATATTTGGTCACTACTGTTCAATCAGTGATCAATTCATCGTAAAAGTGTGAATTTAAAAATTAGTTCAAATAAAACACTGACAGTGATCGACTGAATAAAGAAAAATACTCCAATCCCATTGACTAACGTTGAAATAGTTCTTATCGAAAAAATGGAAAAAAATTCCCTGCGTTCATTTAATTCTCATTACAGATTAATTACCAGAAAACGAGAGAGGGAGAGAACAGTTTCAAACACATAAGAGCAATAAAAAGTCGTCTTCCTCTAATATGAGACTTCTCATCGACAATGTTCCAACAGTTTTGGTGAGATTAAACGGGATTATATTCTCTTTTTGTGCATGGAAATATTTCAATATGATGATGATGTGTTATAACAGAGGCCACATATTATTTAACAAACAGGAATTATTTGCTTGCTATGATCAAATATTTCTTTAGATTTTTGGGCCATTCAAGTCGTCTCCTTTCCCAATCTATCCCATTTACACACACACTACCAAACCTATGAATATAACAGTTTTGATGTTATGAAAAACTAAAAAATAAAAGACGACGATCAATTAAAATCACTGAGTATCACTAAAACAGATTAATGGATGATAAATATATTTTCATAGTTTGCATTAGGGATTGATAATAGTTTGACTATCATCAAAAGCTAGAAAGCATTGGACAGCAGCTATTTCATCTCGATATGGAACACCTCAGTAACAGTGTGCAACCACAATCTAACCGATTATCAAACTCAAGACACTCGGTATCTTACAATGATTTCCTAACCTTTGAATCAATAAATTAAGACAGTTAATTTTCAACTAATCTATACGCTAAAGTAGATAACTATTCAACTTGTCAGTTATACCATGTATTTTCAAAATAAAATAGTTAGAAAGATGTAACAAAGTAAATAAGTACAAACAATAAGAGGACGAAAGAAAAGAAACACTATATTACCTTACGTATATCATTTAATGTATGCAATTCAGGCGATAGCCCACCATGTACGCATAGAAATTGTTGATTGATCAATGCAGCTAATGGTAAAAGATCAAATGCTTCCATACAAGCTTCATAAACATGTTCCGTACTCTTCATGATACCTAATATTGTTCAAGCACAAAAATGTATACATTTATGATATAGGAACCAGAAATAATGGTGATAATAATAATCACAATTATATTACTACTACCACTATATACGATATAAGTATAACGTTGATAGGAAAAAATGACAGATCAGTACAATGCATGTATATTTGTCAAGATTTACTCTTATTATGACTATTACTAGTATTAACATAATACTAATTGCAATGTGTAATACGATATACAGAAAAAAGTGATTATATATATGTACTTGGAAAAGTGTTGATAAGATCTATTAATTGTGATAAGTTTGAGAGATTAGAACAACATTTATTATCAGTATGGAGATTTGTGGAGACTGTAGTATTTTGACAGATGAATTCACGAGTCAATGTACGGTAAGCCACCGTTGAAAATCTGAAAGCGTTAGACGGTCGTTTCGCCCATATACAGGGCTCCTCAGCAGCGCACATCCATGATCCCACAAACAGGACTCGAACCCAGGACATTTGGTTTCGCACGCGGACGCTTATCATCTAAACCACCAAGCCGAGATCCAACCATGTTAATGTCCAACTACAATCGATCCATGGTCTTGCGCGATTCTACATCCAATGTTTGAGGTGGATAACTGTCTCACACCCGACATGGATTGAACTCCACTGGTCATGGCTACTCACTAGAACTCCAGAAAACCCATCATGCAGTTAATCACTAGGGCATTATTTTCATTGACTCGTGAATTCAACTGTTAAAATGCTATAATCTCCATAAATCCCCATGGTGATAACAACTCCATCAGTTAATGGAAAAAGGTTCGTCTTATTTAAAACTACATTATAGAATAATTGAGGAATTATTTGTATGAAGAGATGTTATGACGAGAAAAATAAAGGAAAACTGACAAACTGGATAACCTTTTTAAGATATTTGTTCATTATGTGATATTACGAACAACTGGGTTATAACTTTTTTCTTATAACGCTAATCTTCAGTTTTTGTCTGATCTATAAACTACCGCTATATCTTATTCGATTCTCGAACTATTGATATACTCTAGTCATAAGATTATTATTCTGATTTTCACCCTAAATGACCTGTTTTCGGCATACATGGTATTCTTTTTTACTTTATTGTGCATCGCAATCTATATGGCCTTGTATTTAGCCATATAACCTTCGAGTGAGCATAGCTACGCATTATTAGCTAGTTCAGTTACACAGTTTTTTCACTAGAGTTGTCTTATGTTCTTGCAAATCAATCAGCCTCCATTAGTCGACAATTAGGACAATTTTTGATCGTGAAGCCAAATCGGTTACAACTGAAAGCACTCATTCAGTCTCACAGTCACATAATTCAGTCCGAATATTTATTATATGGTCATATGTGTGTTAACTACATACCCTATTCATTATGTGTCTGATTTATTTTTGTCTGAATATAAACATTAGGTCACGCTTGATGAAATCGAGTTGGCTCACTCGCGTTCTCCACCGCCCGTTATTTCGTTTCACTTCGCTTCGTTTCTCTGATCACCTGTCTGGATCAACAATTGTATGAAATATACATATTGGAAATCCATTCTCATATTTGACTTATTTAACTCCGTTATCCACTAACGCAATTTAAGTCGATGATTATATACGAGGGTAGCCGGGATTTATATTTCGATAGTAATCACCATACAGTATAACTGGAATCAGATATAAGGCAGCTTAAAATTACATAGACTAGGGATAAGTAACAGAGAGCTCGATAGAAATCGATTAGTACCAAGGACCAAAGAAATAGATGAAAGGAGACCTTAATGAAGACCTCCAGTGACTTCCAAAATGATCTTGGGACAGTAAAGCTCGCTTTCAACTAATCGGAATGAAGATAATATGTAAAAAGTCGAAAAAAGGTTTCAGTTAGGATTTAGGATTGAAGTTGAGTTTGTGTTAGGATATTAACTAAGGCTTAGGATTAATGGTTAAGAATGGAGTGGGAAACTGATAAGCACCCAGACGGACGAATACAGTTGTAATTCTTTGATTATAAATATCAAAACTCTATAAAACACAGGTTCTGTTCTTTATTCTACTTAAGTTTACTAACAGTGAGCATCTTCATAACCAAGATTTGGTAGTTTACTTATTTCGTAATTAGCTCTTAATAAGATAGAAGTTATCAGTCATTAAGCTTTAAAATTCATGCAAATTCCCAATAACCTCCATCTTAAAACTGATAAATTCATCGATAACGTATACGTTTACCGACAAATATGGTATTAGTTACTACTACTCTTTGAAAAACCAGCGTAACTTCAGCACGTTTTCTTGGTTTAATATAGGCTTTATTCTCTAAAGAATTCAATAAAAGAATATAAAAACACTAATCACAATAATAATGATAATAATGATATCAATAAAACACTTACATTCTTGTCGGAATGTAAAATATTGTGTCAAATGACGACATTCATGATTACCACGTAGAAGAAACAGACTGCGTGGATATAGAATTTTCAAACTAAACAAGTAGATTACACACTAAAAAATTTAAAAAAAACAGTAAACAAAGATTATTATTATTACTATGACCCGTTTTCTTTCTGTAATAATTTACACATAGGGAATACAAACTATGTTGAATATTTAAGAAAAAATAACTCATTTCATCACTGAAAATTCATATTAAATATCCATTTCAAAACGTCAAGTTATTCGACCTCAGTACACATGCATAAGTTGATAGTTGATACCAACTTAGCTATCCCATCAACTAAATATACAAAATGAGGTAAGCAGAACTGGTTGGTTTAAATCTAAATAACTAAACAGGTAAAAGCTAAATATCACAACCACCAAATCACAAATTTTACAATTTTAATGTATATATACATATGAAACGGTAAAACGAGTAAATTTGAGATTAATATGTCTATCTATACTTCCATAGTTTAGTAATAATTCGAATCTCCTAACTCCCAACTATAGCTGCTGTCTCGAAGTGATGGTTAAGGGTTGTATAATGTGGTAACTCAGTCAAGTTATATTAGCTGGGAAACTTATCTCTTTAGATGATATCATGCCACACATGGTTATAAGATGAGAAGACTAAAAAATTGGGATCCGGAGCGAGGTCATACGACTGACAGTACTAGATCATGGTGGCAATAAGGCGTTCCATTCAGACAACTAGTATCTGAGGTAATTTTGCCATCTCACAAAGAGAGGGGGTTAGAATAAATAAAATGTCATATCTTAACTAGGCCCACGGTTTTCCGTTACCCATGATAAGAATCTTAAAGTATGACCGTAACACATCTAGAACAACTTGCAAACAAAGGTTGTGTGTGAACAGCCTTAAGCAGTTATCCCCTATGAGCTACGGTCACACTCCTAGGTTGTCGAGACCACTACTAACGCAGCCTCTTTCTGAGGTTTTTCAAGAAGAAGTACTCTTCCATGATAAATGCGACCAATAAGTCACAACCGCCTACATACCTCTAACAAAACTTAAAATAATAGTTACTAGTAGTAAATTACATCATTATCAAAATGCTTTCAGCACAATAACAACAAATCAGAAGATTTAATGATTCAAATATTATTCATAATGACAAATATGTTGCACACACACACACACAGCTACAACAATTAGCTTAATCACATTCTCGATAATCAAGTTTGATTTAATATTATACAGCAATTTGTTTTTTTCTTTTGCTCAATCAAGTAAAGATTAAACCTTACATAGCCAAGTAATTCTTTATGAAATACTCTGTTTAAGTTTTCCTTAACTGCTGTTCACCTATACTTATATATACAACTGTGTCGGTGTTTGAACCAGATTTGCAGTTCCGCGATGTTCTTTTGTTTATTATTCCTTGTTTCCTATATTATACAGTGTATGGAATTAAAATAATTGAAAACTAATTAGAATACCGTTAATGAGATACAAATATATGGATTGTGATCTTATTAAATAGTCAGGTAATATTGATTAATAATGTTCAATATTGTGGTTGTGTATTGACCCGAAAGACTAAGCATCAATGAAAAGTTAAGTAGATAGTACCCATTCAACAATAATTATTATTTTAGTTTAACCAATTTTTTTAGAAACGAGAAAAAGAGTGCAAACATTTTAAATATCACAATCTTAAGTTGGATGAAAGTCTTTATTGTCATTCTAGACATTATCATCATTAACGATTACTTCATGCTGTTCAGAAAGCCAATGGAGGCTGTGCGATTTAATCGACCAGCTCAGACTCAGTCCCATACTAGGACTAAATAACTGTCTGGTGCTTCCAGATTTCCAACAGTGGTCTAACATTGATCCACTCATGATATTAATGTGTTATTTCTCATTTGCAACTTTCACTACAAGTAGAATTGATTGCAAATCAGTCTCTATTTTCTGTTCATTAAACTTTGTAGTCATGAATATTTAACTGTCGTTAATAGAAGAACATATTAGGCTTTTGAAGAATCTGATTCATGTCTTCTATGAACTGTTCTTTCTTTCTATCGTTGTTTGAAATACCCGACATAACTCTTTATAAATCGATTTCATATCTGACTAGAAAATAATCTATTGTTAAATGAAATACTTTTGAACACGTTCATTGTCGAAACTTCTGTGTAATCCTATATATAACAAATTGTGAGTCTATCAATCATTATTTTTCATTTATTCGTACTCTCCTGAATGGATTCGATAATATTTCCTTTTTATTTACAGAGTTTAGTATTAAGTGTAGGAAGAGCAGCCGAATTTAAAATGGACGATTCAAACACACTAATATTTGAAGATTCAAATGTAATATCGAGACATCTACTAAGAACTCACACACACTAAAAAAGATTAAAAATTAGTCCTGGATATCGACAAAGTGATCGTTAAATTATTCTACAAATGCAACATTAGTTCGTCATGATAGCCTATTTAGTATATGTGAGTTTTTGTATGTTCTGTTGTTTTCATTTTATATAATACTCAGAGAGTAACTGAAAGGTTCACTCTTATTTAATGTAGGTAACGATAATCTTGTCCAAAATGACAAAACAAATCCGTAATCAAGTCATCTAGTTCACTTGAACACAACATTTATTTATTTTAATGATTGTATTCTAAAAATTTTTATCTTCTGACACATAGGCTTATAATCAAGCATAAAACAACTGTAAGTTATCGATCTAACATGGATATATCACATGTCACATTAAATAAGTTAGTAAAGAAAAGCATCTAACAAGGGAAATGACAACATAGTTTCCAATGGAAATATAAACATAAATTATATATTTTAAAAAGAAATGGATTAAATGGAACGAAACTTCTGAAATGCCACTAAGCTTGAGATATATAGAAGAACAATAAGGAAAATAATACAACTACAGTACACTTGGATATACTATGGATTATGTCACTAGATTTCTCCATATTCTAGATTATATATAAAACAACTGTTTAGAGAATAAATATGTAATTGGACCATAATTAGTTCTGTACAATTAGATAACAAACACGGGTAATTCTTTAATGACTTGACAATTTTCTAAGAATGTTACAAGGACAGAAAATTACATGTCAGTTGTAACATAGAACCTGATGTGTATGTATATCGTTTCAAGTTGTCAATTCCGATTAACAAAGAAAGATGAAAACGTTAGAGTGAATCTCAGAGTATTAGAGGTCATGAAAGAAAAGATTCGGCATCGAACACATGATTCAAGAAAATATAAATTAATGGAAATAAAAATAATTACGATGAATTTAGAAGCTTAGCATTCAAGGGAAAACAAAAAATGTAATAAGCAAAGATTGATAGTGGCTAGCAGTGGAATCCAGGACGCGCGTTTCGTCCTATTTGGGACTCGTCAGTTGGATTCACCTCCATCTCAGAGTTGATGTTCACTCTGGTGATGGTGTTTGAGTCCCAGAGTGAACATCAACTCTGAGATGGAGGTGAATCCAACTGACGAGTCCCAAATAGGACGAAACGCGCGTCCTGGATTTCACTGCTAGCCACTAATCATCTTTGCTTATACTGCTTGTAAATTAAGGCAATATAGAGGCAATACGCACAGTATGTACATATGCTAATAGGAGACTGATCAATTGCAGTTCTAAACATCAATAGGAAGATTCAAGTAAAACAATACCAAGTGAATTAAAACAAAAAAATAGTTGCACCTGTGTCATTTCCAATGGGCATATCTCACATTCACAAAATAGAACGGAGAATAAATTCAAGTAACAATTGAAAAATAAATAAAACAATAAAATATTTATGACCTAAGTATCTATTGCTTTATAATATTATGACCAATATTATTACTAATAGAAATTAGAATCATTCCATGTTGTTAAGGTGAAGAACAGTAAGTAGTTTAAAGATTGAAATGTGACAATTATGATTTAAAAATACCATAGCCATCTCTACAAAACCTTTTCAAATAAACTATAATAGTCAGCTCACTAGGGACTTGCTTCAGTTATGACTGGTGGAGTTCAGTTCAATATTTTATGCCAGTGATATTGGTTAGTCATCGGGCTATATCTCAAGTCGATTGAATTTAGTAACATACACCAGTGTATTTCGACCCACTGGTCCTAATGACTATCATCAAACCTAAATTCTATGTGTTTGAACTCTGACAAAATCATGGATTCGAAGTGACGAGGAGCTTCATACTAATATGAAACAATTGTCCAGCTCTCCCTGGTTTTCAATATTACCCAAACTGGAATCATAATTTAACAGTCTTATAGAACACAACTCTTGTTTTATCATCAATTAAAACAATCTCTTTCATGTCTCAATATTTATTTTAACACTAAACATAATTTATACTGAGTTGGTGTGTTAGCGGGACATAGACTAGATTAAAGCACGCTCAATGCATGATTGTTTTGGTGCACGCTGATTGGCTGATCCTTATCCAATCAGCACTAGTCGATAGTCGGAGATTACTCTGGAATCTTCTTATGTAAAAACTATAAATATACCGACGTTTTCCCCTATTGTGCTTCCTACTGGCTTCTGACTTGCTATTTGGAATATAATCTTTTTCCTGTTCAACCGTGTTCTGATTTGGGGACTTGTCGAGTGAGTCGGTGTCCGAGAATACTAAGCAATAGGAATAGCTGGGTCATTAACCGTAAGAAGAAACAGAGTTATAACATGGTGAAAAAGATTTGTAGCTCAGGTGGATAATTTTGATGGAGTTTTGTTCTCTGGGCTGGATGGTTTGGACGACTTCATCAAAACAATTTATACTTATAAATCAATAGAAAAACTATTCTTTCATGTTTTTGTTTAACAAAAATAGCTGGGAATATTATAGACTTTAAATATAACATATGTAGTTCCTGGCAAATATAATGGATAAGATCACTGAAAACAAATTTTGGTAGAAAATAAACAAAAGTTCTTCTTTTTTGAAAGTGAGCAATCTTAGACTGAATTCCTTTAAAAGTAAACAAACTAAAAAGTCATTAATAATGAATTACATGTGCTATTTAAGAGGTCGATTAC